AAAAAAACAAAAAAAAAAAAAAAAAAAAAAAAAAAAAAAAAAAAAAAAAAAAAAAAAAAAAAAAAAAAAAAAAAAAAGATTTGTTTTCCTGCCTTGTGGTTACATTACATTATAACCGAGAAAATATCGAGAAATAGCTTAGCTTATGCAAATGTTTTAGATGTTTGAGATAGGTTTTTTTTTAAATTATTAATTCGCATTAGAAAATTCCTTATTATAATCATGAGTAATGATTACTCTTTTTCTTTTAGATATTACTTGATTTGAGATTTCCTAATGAAAATAACACTTCTTCGGAATATCTTCCTACATTTTAAGTTAAATCCCCCACTCGAGAATAATTTTTTTTTCTTTTTTCCATTTTTAGACAAAATAAACAACCTAAACTTGTGATTTTTTGATTCATCACATGAAAAAAAAAAAAAAAAATTGCCATTGTTTTAAATTTTTCATTTAAATTAGGTTTTTCCCATTGATTCATGACTAAATTGAATGAAATTTAATTGGTTTAAATCCAAAAAAAAAAAAAAAAAAAAAAAGATCACAAGTTCAAAAAGTACAATGTAAAAAAAAAAATGGTATTCCCAAAATAATAAATAAAAAATAATTTTTGATCCGAAAAAAGAATGTGAGAATTTTTTTGTTTCAGCCAAGCAATTTATAAAAATCGATTTAACTTTTTTTTAAACTTTTCGGACCCATAGTATTTTTTCATCGAATTAAATAAAACAATACAAGCAAACGACCTTTATTATCATTCTGGATTATCACCAAATCTTTTTTAATTTTTTTTTTTTTAGTCTTTGGGTGGATAGTTTAAAATGATTAAATAAAGTATCATACAAAGTACTGCCAAGATCACAAACAACAACAACAAAAAAAAAAAATAATAAATAAAGTGAGTCACAATACATTCATTCCTTCATTGATTTGTCTGATGAATTTTTTCGAAAAGGTTACAGGACATCGAAATGTGACATCCTGATCCTATTTTAAAACCCAATAATAAAAATTGGACGGTGTGATTTATGGTTGTACTGTAGCAATGTTTTTTTTTTATATTACCCCACGAGTTCGGATAAACGAAGCGGACTTGAGAATACCGGATCGTCTGATTGTATCCTTATTTTTTTTACAAAATAAAGGATTTTCCATTTCTGCGGAAACTGATTAATCATTTGCACAAGGATATTACTGTTTTTAGCGAACCTTACAAATCAAACTTATCATAATCACAATAATAATTATAATAATCATTAATCATCCTTATTCAAATGAGAATTCTTTGTGCTAATGAGATTGTTTGAGGTCGCTTGGTCAAAAAAAGTCTAACGGTGTAAATTATCATGATAGGGAAAAAAAAATATTCTTATACCATGTGAGTAATTGATTTTGTATTCTGACCGATTTCGTTATCAGCTTATCAAGAGAATCGTCTTATCATCTTTCTTTGATAGGACACATGATCTTAATTGCTTAATGGTCTGTGTAAATTTATTAATAATTAACTATGGCATTCAAGTTTCATTATGGAAACATTCAACAACTTAAAATAACTTACCAAATCAAGTAAAAAAATAATAATAATTAATAGTCTTTTGAAACACAAAGTTTTTTTTAACAAAAATTTCCCAGGTGCGTATCCTTAAAAATAAACACATGCAAAGAATGTATGACCAATTACTGCTTTCATAACGTAATAAAACTTTAAATTTAAAAATCGAACCGCTTCGATTCGTCAAATTCTTTTTTCTTTTTTATTCTCTTCATTTAAGCTGAGCCGTCAAAAATGATTAGTTAAGCAGCGGCAGGTTTGTACCACACGTCAACACCCAAAAAAAAAAAATATTCGTCGTTATTGGTGAAGTCCATAGTTTTCGTTTGATGGATTTTTTTTAATTAAATCTTTTAATGGTAAGATACATAATCTGAAACGTGATAAGTTTTCATTATTCTCACACAACCCTGCATTTGTTTTTTTTTTTGATTCACGATAGGGATGTTGCATGCCAACCAGTAAATATTTGTCGTTAATAAATTCCAAATTTAACGGCTTGGTGGCTAAAAGCCAAGCTCAAATTCTTGATTGGTCCTTTAAAGGTTGCTTATCTCCTTCTCCCCTTCCGTTAGGGTTGGTTGTCATTAAAGGAAAATCATTTTTTGAATCCTTTTGTTTAAATTAAATCCTCTTTGAGACTAGATGAAAATTTTCCTTGGTAATTTAATAATATATAGAAAATAAAGATTATTTATCACATGAGGATTATGAACATTGTCACAATAAAAAAGATGTTATCAATAAGAAATTATTATGTTAAATCAGATGATTTTAACGATATATGGATATTATCGGTCAAATGTGAGATTTAAAAAAAAAAAAAAAGGTACCCTTCCGTTAAAAAAATCGAATGAATTGATTTTCTCTAGGACACAATATACACAATAGATTCGGTGAACATCTTTTGATATCGATATCATACGACTCAAAATGTTTTTAAAAAAAAACGTGTGGTTTTTTTGTGATCGACATAAAAATGATAAATATGCCTCATGCGGATATCGTAAATTTTAAATTCAAATTTCATCAAGGATAAATGAAGCAATGTGGCTTGTTTATAATAACAATCTTCTCTCGTTTAATAAGGATGGAGAAGAAAGCTTGTGTGTCGTACGATGATTGTCGAATTGTTTGGTAAGCTTGTTTTTTGTTAAACTTTTTTTTTTGTCATTTGAATTTCATATTTTTTTTATTTATTATATTGTCTTTTCATATATTGTTTTATAACAAATATTTAATGAATAAAAATGAATAAAGGAATAAATGGGGAAAAAAACAAATTTTTACCCCACATAGTCAAACAAAGTAACCAATGAAACATACGAGAAATTGATGAAAATAAAATGGTATGATCATTTTTTTTTTTTTTTTTTTTTTGTAAACAGATTATCCTGACACAGTAGAAGAGTAAATAAAATTAAAATTGAATGGTTTTACCGTGCCGTTAATAATTATATTGCGAGACTATCTCTTAATTAGACGATTAATAGGAGAAATAAATGAAGGTTAAAAATAGGATTAGGAAATGAGAATAAAAAATTTTTATAAAAAAAAAAAAGAAAAACTCTCTTATTACAAGGTTTGTCATTGGGTGTTCCTTTATTATAAGCACCAAAAGCATCATGTACAAAATTAAATTTAATTTTATCGGCGTTTTGTTTGATATTATTATACTATATTTATCCTCCGTATTCCGAAGTGAGGATTGACCGTCGCACACAATGTTTATTGTCATCGGATGATTTTTTGTTTTTATTTCATACATCCCCACTCAACCAAGAACATTCGATGACGCTCAAGCCCTCCGTTGGGCATTCGCACCCTTCTTGCCTTCTTACATGTTTCATTCAAACCGTACCTTTTGTGGCTCATACATAACAAGTACAATCACGTTTTATTCAAAATAATCACAACGGATGTTTTAACGTGAATCAGCTTTTGGTTCGGAAATTCGCTGATTAGTATGGTCAATGCAGGAGAAATTTTTGGTGTATGAAAATCTCATTATTTACTTATGTACAAGAGATTCATGTCTAACCGCAAAGAGATTGTTGAGAATAAATAAAAACCTCATTTAACCTTTTTTCTTTTGTTGAATAGAGAACCATTTTTTTTTCTTTATGGAATGAGCTTACTCTAAAAAAGGATCGCAACCGGTTTTGCCTTGATGATTTCCTTAATTGGCATCATAGAAAGTAGGTTCAAAAGAGAGAAAAAAAAATAAAGATAAGATAGGAACATGATATGAGCACAAAAGTATTTAATTTAATGCAGGGGTAGTATATATATATATAAGTCGGTCTCGGTGTTGGTTCCGCACCTCTTTCTTTTTTTCATTCGTAAATAAGGTTTCTTATAATGTAAATAAATTTTAATTAATAATTATGAATGAATTATGTGGGGTAAAAGATTAAATAAGGAAAAAAAAAAAAAAAAAAAGGTAATATGAAAAAAGTATATACTGAATGTAATAACGACGATTACTAAAAATAAATAAGAATTTTTTTTTTTTTAAACTTCAAATTGATAAGGTTTGAATGAATTAGAGTTTCATGGTGGGATTTTTTTTTTTTTTCCCTTTTTTTTTTTAAAAAAAAAAAAAAAGTAAAATAAACTTGGTAGTTCATTCAATAATATTTATGGAAATCGAGCGAAAAAAAAATAATTTCCGTACGAGACCGGCAAAAACAGATTTTATTTATTTATTTTTTCCGTTATAGTCTTCTTTTTCAATCATTTTAAGTAATGGATCTACCCGTTGATAGATGGAGGAATTAGAGTTATCTAGAAAAAAGATGCATTATGGTGATTCATCTATTTTTTCTTTGATATAATTAAGTTCTTTGATAAATATTTTCACAGGTACAAGGACTTTTGAATTTGTGATAATAACAAAAATCTTGATAAAGTTTCATGCTTAACCAAAAGAAAAACCAATGGTATATAGAGATGATAATATCTTTATTAATGGGACGAAACGAAACTTTCGTACATGAATATGATATATATAATAAGACCAATAAAAGTTAACGTCAGATGTATTTGAATCTAAATATGGGTTAAAGTTCTTTATTATATTATCTTACCCCACAACAAAAACAATACCCCACAAAAAAACAAATAGGTCTTATAGGTCTTTAAGAAATTTAGGTTGCTAAGGGTAAATCAAAGAAATCATATAAAAATGGGTTTATATAACTCTTGTATGACTAGATGCCCCAATGGGAACTAAACCTTCTTACAAAAAATACAATTCGATGTACGACGACCCTTTTCATTCATGCATCAAGATGAATCGTACAGTTCATGAACTAAAAAAAAAAAAAGAACTCATTATTATTTGTAACGCGAATGTTTATCATTGAGGTACTCTTTTTTATAGATTTGCATTTTTGTGAATTATCAAGTTTTAAAACTCAATCATTTCCATAAGAAATTATGAAACATGCACGAGTATTATCAACGTCCCTTGCATACTTTAAAAATTTTGAGTGACCAAACAATATAACCAGTCAATGCCGTAGTTTTAGGGCCGGGATACACCCAACATTTTTTTATTTATAATCTATGCGCTTGATAATAAAAATATTTACTTTGCTGAAATAAGTAAAGCAAGTTGCACAACAAAAATAATAATGATTTATCAATATACTAGACATATGAAGTTCGAAAATTGATTTATTTAATGAATAAAAAAAAACCCGTTTTGTATCATGTAAATGTCCGACATGTTTATTAAACGGCAAAAACGGCCCGAAGATCAGACTTTTGTATTTTCAACGCTACATCACCCCCCTAAAAAATAATCCATGCTACGAACGAACTGCTCATGATACCTGTGAATGCATATTAAACGCGTCAAGATTTCAAATTCATTGGGCGCGAAAAAAAATTTTCAAACACCTATTGAAGTGGAAAGGTATATAATTATCGATTATGATAATTGTGAATGTGTTTTTTGTTTACAATGACCCTTCTTAAACAAATCAATCATTTTACAAAATCGAGTTAACAATATCATGGGACTATCACACAACTAGGTTGAAAACAAGTAACACATTTACTCATTAATATTTCCAAAATGAACAAGTTTATAATGAAAGTTACCCGACCCGTACAAACTTAGGGCTTGAATGCATATGCCTACCAACTTTTTATTGTTTGACAATAAAGAAGAAAACATGTAACACGACGTTTTGTTACTCTTTTCTTCTATTATTCAGTACAGGTTATCTCTCTTCATTCAAATGGAAGTACATGATAAACGCGTTTCTTTCTCGCACTCTCACCCTTACATAATTTACAATATTTAACATTTTCGGGCGGAGTATTTTATGTCCTTTTAGGTTAAATACTTTAAATCTTCATCTATGTTTTTTTTTTTTTTTTTTTTTTACGAAATTATCACCCGAATGTCTCGATTAGGGGAATTTAATATGATTCACCCCGTAATTTAATCAATCAGGAAGGTAGGAAAGCAACCTCGATTTTAACTTTGGTCCTTATCTCTATTTAAAGATATATATATATCTATATATGATTGATTGTTAAGGAGAAATCAGGGACACATTAAACCAGTTTAATTCTTAAAAAAAAAAAATAATAAATAATTTTTTAATCCAGATTTTCGTTTAAGGGAAAATCATTCAACCTTATTTTCAAAGAATTATCACCGTTCTGCCCCATTGATTTAGCCGCTATCCAAACAACATTTTTTTCTTTGTAGAGAATTTGCACCATCAAGATTTAAAATAATTCTAAGCCCATCAATCATCAAACCGAAAATGTAAAATAACAAGACAATTATAGAAATGTAGAACCTTTTGGGATGTTTTTGATAAAGAAAAAATGGTGTGTGTAACAACTTTAAAAATTGCACGTGTCATAAAATGTATAAGATGTGAACACAATATCTTTAGCCGATATTTGTAAAAAAAAAAAAAGAGAAAAAAAAAGATTGTTTTCATTTTTATTATCCCATAAACAAATATGCAAAATATGTAAAAAAAAAAAAAAAAAAAAAAATCATTTACTGTATCTTATTCCCCACATTGTTATGCTGAACACAAAAATTATAAATTTTCACATATATTTACTACATATCGGTTCGATGTTGAAATCAAATAATAATGCATAAAAATATACTATGCAATGTTGGAACGCTTTTGTGTGAGCTAAAATTTTATGGCTTGCAGCGCAATTTTTTCTTTTTTATTGCTTTCCCGCTTTTTAATTAGATCAATTAAAATTTGTGATAACCCAAAGTAATTGGCGTTTATTCTTATTCAAGTTAAAAATTACCCTATTGAAGGAAAATATGTTAATAAAAGGAATTGGCGGCGATTCTCTTTATGTGAAAAAATTCCTGGAGTGGCAGTCTCCAAGCCTTTGTAACAAGAAATTTGTTTGTCACCTTCAGATTATCGAAAGATGCTTAACAATCCTTTTTTTTCTATTAATGTGTAGATAGTATAGAGGATAGTATAGGAAAATGCAAGCAAAAAAAGAAAATTGAAGAAACTAAACATATTGTAATCAAATCATATGTCTTTAAGGATTTAATATTACCAAAACTTGAAAATTTTTCTATGGTTATATTGTTCGTTTTAGATTGTTCAAAATGAAAATAAAAATAATAATAATAATAATAATTTATCGAGTGTATCTTGCTTTTTTTGATTCCCATTGCAGAACCCTTTTTTTTTATAAAAAAAAAGTAATTATAAAAATGATTTGTTTAATACATAGAGAGTTATGTTTTGCGTTTTGAATTTCACCTCCCATTTAATATGTATAAATGTGATTATGTAATACTCTCCTCATGTTTATTATTAATTAGCCCATATAAACAATTTTTTTAAATATTTTTATAATATAATATAAAAAATCTTAACGAAACGCTCGTGCGACAACCTGATCATACTATCGTACATCTCATAATCATGGTTTGGGGGAGTCTAGACTGGTTATAGTTAATTTTTGTTCTGTTAATTTGGTTAATTGTCGAATTGTCCAATCGGACCGCTGATCAATCCTAATATGAATAAATTAATTTATAGATTTTGCCCCGCTCTTTTAGTGCCTTTTATATACATATGGCAAACTTGCTAGAACAGGTAAAAAATATACATAAATGCTCTAGACAAGTTTTCTTAATTAGTAATAGTTTTTTTGATTGTATATTTTTTAAAAATTTACTTAAAAAAAAAAAAAAAAAAAGGTCCCAGAAATATTTATTCTTTTTGTCAATTCCATAAACTCATTCATTACTTACAATACAACCATTCTTCGTTCATATCGTTATCTACATTTCACTACTAATTCTTATCAATACTTCCGAATCTTCCACATCATCATCAATATCAGAATTACCGATGGTACTATCATCCATTTCATCGATGTGTTCCATATCAATAAAATGCTCATGATTATTACTCACTTTATTATCATTTGATTTCCCGACTGCCCACCGCTTCCAAATTATTCTCACAGTGATGAAATAAAATAAACTATTCGTCAATCCTAATAATATTGTCGTAACATACGTATTATAACCGACACGAATTATCCAATCTCTTGAGGATGATATGAATGAAGAATCGTACATGTAGAAATCTGATATACGAACATTTACGTAATAATATATCTTTATTAGGGCTGTTAATTTCAGGAGTAAAGTCATTGGGGAAGGAAATGATGTGTCATTTATCGAGAGGACCCGTCGGGTTGAAATGTAAAAATCGCGATATATAATAATATGACTTACAATATAATATCCATAATACACAGAGAAAGCTGATTTTTTCGCGTTAATAAAAAAAGAAAGGTTAATCAATAATATTCGTGATTAAATGAAATCATAATCCGAATAAATTACCAATGAATTCCTATATCAGATTTTTTAAGTTTGTCAAACGCGAAACAATAAAACCCTGTATTAAATGAAACAATTAAGAAAATATTATATTATCACGATACGTGAAATAAAAGACAATTAAATTCATTATGTACCACTTGTGATTATACTAATTAATATGATCAATTCAAAGAATCCTATCGGTACTGTTTGAAAGTCCTCACTTTTTTATTTTTTTTTTAAAAAAAAAAAAAAAATAATTAATTAATTTAATAAGTAGGAAAAATTTACAAATCATTTCCATTAAATTACTTACGATGATGGTGAGTGGCTATATTTGCTCGTATATTGTGTTAACGCATTTAAAAAAATTAATTCTATAAAATCATTTGTTTTGTCGTTAGATTTATTTTCAATAGCAATAAAGATATTTTTTTTTATAACCATGTGCTGGTTTCCTTCAAAAATATTTCAAACATTTGCACTTTTACTTTTGAAAAGAAATGGTTGAGATACATACCTAGAATTAGACAATTTATTGAATTGAAGAATTCAAATATTTCCAAGGCGTTAAATAATGAATATTTCATACTTTTATAGGAATAACAAAACTTTTGAATCACACCGATTTTATTGAAATTTTCAATAAAATATACTTTCAATTACAATAAAAAAGTAAGTAAAGAAATCTTCTTTCTCAAAACTTAAAAAAAAATTTATTAACAAACCACCCTATTTCACTTAATGGATGCATCCCCCCAATATTAAGAAATAACAAAAAAAAAATGAGATTTTACGAGCATTTTTCCTAAAATAATTTCTTCACCCTTTACCCTTTGGTGCTTGGTAAAATCAAGAAAGAAAACATTAATCCGTTAATTACCAATTTCTATGGTCTTGTGAACAACTAAATATAGAGAATATACCTTTGATCCGTTTGGACTTTTGATCCGATGACCCTTTTATATTGAAAACTTGATTTCTTGATTAAAAAAAGAATTAATTATAGAAATGACTTTCGAAATGACTTGTAATGAGTGCATCACTTTTTTTTTCAGATGCATAATCAGGTGTGAAAGTTGTGTAATATATATATTATGCTAGATATTATCAAATCTTGATATCGGAGGTAAGCTATTAAAATCACGTTACGGATCATATGATTTACTATGTTCGTAACTCGATTTTAATAGCAAACCTCC